CCCACAGGGGGATGACCACATCCCAATTTCTTCTCCAACCTCCTCTCAGGATTTTAGGGAGGCATGCATATGTGCCCGGCATGAGTTTCAAGTCACTGGGTCTGGGACTTGAACCACGGTCGACTACATGGGAGTCCAGCGATGTAACTATTATGCCAACTGCTGGTCCAGACCTCACATTGTATTGAGGACACAAATAAGAAACAAACTGAAAAATAAATTGAACACAGAATGATCACGTTTCCCATAGTTGAGCAGGTCCATAAAAATAACTGTCCAAATTAATCTTTTTTTTTTTTTTGAGGTTTTTGCTATAGGGTGAGTATGCTCACCAGAGAGAGAGAGAGACAGAGAGACAGAAAGCAAGAAATTACCCCCTAGGGGGAATGGCCTCACCAAAATCCCTTCTCCTCTATTCTCCTCTCAGGATCTTGGGCATGCAAGCACACACACCAGGCCTGAGTTTAAGCCACCGGGCTCAGGACTCGAACCACGGTCGACTACATGGGAGTCCAGTGAATAGCCATTACACCAACTGCTGGTCCCCCAAATTAAGATTAATGACCCAATGGCAAAATTAAAATTTCTACATGACTGTTAATTTTTTTTTTTTTTTGTCAAAACATTAAGAGCTCTGGGGCCAGCGGGTAGAGCAGTGGGTAAGGTGTTGGACTCCCACATGGCCAATCGTGGTTTGAGTCCCAGACCAGGTGGCTTGAAACTCACACTGGGTGCATATGTGTGCATGTGTGCCTAAAATCCTGAGAAAAATAGAGACTGCAGTATAGTGATTTTCCCTGGGGCAGGACTTCTCACTTTCTCTGTCTCTCCAGAGAGTACACACCCCCTATAGCAAAAATCTCTCTTAAAATTAAGAACTTACTATTGGTTATATTGGGTCGTTGGAAAGTCATGATGCATTTTTGCACAGAAAAATATATCATGACTTCTCCAATGACCTAATAGAGAAAAATAAAAAGATAGAACTAATACTGTGTACACTGTGATTTAAAATACTGAGAATGAAAGTGTTTTGTTGCTATTTTTTTTTAAGATTTATTTTATTTATCAATATTATTTCTTAATTTACTACAGGGCATGTATGCTTACCAGAGAGAGGGAAAGTGAGAAAGCAAGCTCCCAGGTCTGGAACCCGAACCGCAGTCAGCCACGTTGCAGTCCAGCGACTTAGCCACCATGCCACCTGATGGCCCTGTTTTGTTGCTATTAAGAGTAGTATTTTTAAAGAATTTTATTAGTATTTTTTAATTTGATCAGAGAGAGAGACAAAGAGAAAGAAAGGGAAAGTGAGAAAGTAAATCATCAGGTCTGGGACTCAAACTGCAGTTGCTCATGTGAGAGTCCAGTGCCTTAACCATCACGCCACCTGCCAGCCCCTTTTAAGAGTAGCTTAGGGACCAGTAGATGGTGTAATGGGTACGTCACTTGACTCTCACATAGTTGACCATGATTTGAGTCCCAGACCAGGCAGCTTAAAATTCATACTGGGCATTATGTGCATGTGTTCCCAAAATCCCGAGAGGGGAATGGAGAAGGGATTGCGGCATGGCCATCTCCACTGGGGGGGTGATTTCTCACTTTCTGTTTCTCCAGTGAGTACACGTGCCCTACAGCAAAAAGCTCTCTCAAAAATAAATAATTAAATAAATAAAGTTTAAATGGTGCTTTCCTCCTTCTTGTTGAGTAACTTGACATGGAACAAGTGTCTTTGCTATGCCTTGGTTAATCATCACACTGCTTTCTAAGTCTGGAAAAACTCGTAACAATTTTACTTTTGGGCTTTCAATTCTGCAACACATCTGACTGTAGGGAGCAGCCAGATCTGGGCAGAACAATGGTAGTCTTTGGAGACTGTTGCTTCTATGTAAAAAAGTTTAAGTTTATTTTTAAAGAGAGATTTCTGCTATAAGGTGTGTGCGCTGGCAAGAGACACAGAGACAGACAGTGAGAAATCACTCCTCAGGGGGGAAGGCCGTGCCGCAATCCCTTCTCCATTCTTCTCTCGGTATTTTGGGTACACATGTGCCCCGCGTTGAGTTTTAAACTGCCGGGTCCAGGATTTAAAACGCAGTCAACTATGTGGAAGTCCAGCAACGTAACCATTCTGCCTTCTGCTGGTCCCAAAATGTTGAAGTTTGTTATAGAGAGAGTATGTGCTCACATGGTGGGGGGGGAGGGGGTAGGAGAGAGAAACATCCTCAAGAGGGTCTTGTCACATTTATGGTCCTCTTCCCTTGTCCTCCAACTTATCAGGATCTTGAGCACGAGCCTGTTTTGTTTTGCAAGGCTGGCCAGGAAGCAAACCTGCAGTCAGCCTTGTGGCTTCCAGCACTGCACTTCTGTTTGTTACAGACTGTACCACCAGATGGGCCCAAGGCGAAGATTCTTGCTGTCCTCATGTCTTCCAGAATATCATTCTTTTCTTCACAACAATTTTCTTCATTTCCATTTCTCTGAGAGATGGGGTCTGTGAGCCTGAAGCTGAACACACTGGATTCTTGTCTTCACTTTAAACCAGGTCTTGCCATGTTGTAATCCTCCTGTCTAGGCCTCCCAACTGGGACGACGGGTACAAGCTACCACATCCTGCTCTTTTGAAGACAGGATGGGCTCACTATGTAGCCCAGGACGGCCTTGAGCTTATCTTCCTGCCTTCAGCCTCCCAAATTGCTGGGATTATAGGAGAGCGCTACTATGCCCTTTAGATTAAACCGGTAATTGAACCTAAGACTGCTGAGCACAGGGTTTTAGCAGCACACAGCACTGGGGCTGGACTCCAAGCTAGACTCTGAATCCTGATCTTGGAGTAAACATAACTCCTCCTCTCTGGTAGAATTTGGTAATCACCAAGGCATTTTGCTTTCCTAGTCTCATCAGTGACTATCTCAAGACATGGAAAGTCATCAGCATGCCCCTAGATTGGTTTTTCTTGCTCTTATGCACAAGAGGCACGTGGCTTCAGGCCCAGGGATCCCTATAGCCATACACATGTGCCAGCCTGTTGTGGGTGTGCCTGAATGGGGTAGACTTTGATTGGGGACACCCTATTTTTCTGTGTGTGGCAGCTGTGGACAGTCAGGGATGAGAACCTCTATTTAGGTGATGTCCTGTACCAGCATCCAGGGGTGCCATGGATTCGTGTTCAGCAGAGTTTTTTGGGGCCTGCAAGTCTTCCAGGAAGATGGGGAAGAGGGGCATGATATCCCCAGTGGGGAATCTTGAACATCTCGCACGCACTGTCTTGGGGTCACTCGGCTCAGTAGTTTTGTCTCTCCCTCATGAACCAGATGCAGAGCAACTTCTAGGAAGAAACACCTCCCCACCCTGCACCTCCTTGCCAGAAACAAGGAAGCAAATTTCCTAAAGGGGTTTCACCCCAGAATCTGAGGAGAAGTGCACAGGGGCCTCTCCAGGTTTGAGGCAGGAATGAGAAGGATGTGGCAAGCCCGTATCAGCCCTGGGGCCATAGGAGGCAGAGTTCTGGGGCATCTCCATCATGCCCGAGCTCTGTCTGCTTTGTTCCTCCCCTTTGTCCCAGCAGAGGACAAAGAGGAGAACTTCTGACAGCCCAAGGCTGACCTTCTCAGTCTTCCATGAGCTCCTTTGAGGGCATGAACCTAACTTCTCCTCTCTGTATGCTCCCCTCATCTCCCGGCCTTGAGCTGTCTTTAGAGTCTGGGGCTTTCGGATGTAAGTCACCATTTCCTGCTCTGGAGGAAAAAGCAACAATGAGGCTTGTAAACAGGTATCCTGGGACCAAGAGTGTTCACACAATGGCCCCACACTCCCAGTGCATAAGGTGAAGCTTGGGCCTAGGATCCCAGCTTGGTTCATCTCTAAGTCAGGCCACAGGGCTTCCCTGACCTTCCCAGACAGTGCCAGGGGATGAGGCCTTGCAACTGTATCGCTCCCTTTCCAGAAGGGACCCTTATCCCCAGAAGTCCAAGCCCACAGGTATGTGAGACCAAACCCTCCCTCAGCTCATGCACTCCCCCTACCTGATGCCACATACAGGTCTGGTGTTTGGTGTCTGATTACCCCAGGCAGACCTTCCGATTATAACTATGGCTTTAGGATTCGTTGGCTTCCAACATGCTAAGGCTGCTTTTCATAAGAGAGCAGCAGGAGGCCAGCAGGTGGTGTGGCACTTAAGGCGCTGCTGCGTGTGTGTGAGTACCCAAAATCCCAGGAGGAGGATGGAGGAGAGGGGCTGTGGGCATGGCCATCCTCCCTGGGGAAGGGGGGGGTGAGTTCTTATTTTGCCTCTTGCTGGCTCTCTCATACAAACCCCATGGCAAAAATCTTAAAAAAGAAAAAGGGGGACCAGCAGGTGGCATGGTGGTTAAGGCGCTGGACACTCTCACATGGCTAACCAGGGTTCGAGTCCTGAATCTGGTGGCTTGCTTTCTCACTTCCTTCCTTCCTTTCTTTTTTTTTGAGAGATTTTCACTATAGGGCGCGTGCGCTCGCCAGACAGACAGAAACATAGAGACAGAAAGTGAGAAATCACCCCCCAGAGGGGATGGTCAAGCCGCAATCCCTTCTCCTCCATTTCCTCTCGGGGTCTTGGGCTCGCGCTCTGTTTCCTCTCGGGATCTTGGGCACGCACCCACATGCACCCTGCGTGAGTTTTAAGCCACCGGGTCCAGGACGCGAACCATGGTCGACTACGTGGGAGTCCAGCAACATAGCCAATACGCTAACTGCTGGTTCCCACTTCCTTTCTCTCTTACACTCACCCTCTCTCTCTGATCAAATAAAAAAAAAAAAGAATGAATAAAATAAAATAAATAATTATAAAAAAGACAGCAGGACAAATACAATGCTCTTTTGGGAAAATGACTTGAAAGAATAAAGGCAGCTACTGCTTTTTCCTTCTCCTTGGGGAGTTTCAGGATGCAGACACCACCTAGCACCTCAGTGACAAGGACAAGAGAGGGCTACAGGACTCTTGGGGTACCCACGGTGGTCCATCCTACCTGATGAAGTCTTCCATTGTAGTTTGGTTCAACTCACACGCGCCTCGGATCCTACAACACTGGTTTCCCAGGTGTCCTACTGTCCTCGTGCTTCCACGCAAGTCTGAGAGCAATGACCCAAATGCTCCAAAAACAAGGAGACTGTTTTTAGCACATGTACTCAGGAAACAATGGCCTCTGGGTGCAAGCCCCTCAGCCTCCTGAGGAACATAACCAGACTCCAACCTGCCCTGGCTGTGGGAATCCCCTCATTATCTCCAAACCCAGCACCAGACTCACCTCCCTGGGCTGAACAGAGGACGACCTGAGTGACAGATGCGTGCTCCATCTTCCCTCCACTACATTGACCACTGTCCAGCCACATTCCTGTCCCTTATTTGCACCTTCTTAGGAGGCCAAGGTCACTGGCTGTGCTATGCCACCAACTGCCCGCCCCTCTACAGGGGCTGGACTCCTAGAGGTTCAACTGATGAACACAGAATGCTTCAATCTTCTGAATTATCACACCTCAAACTCGTAAATGTGGCCACGTTTCCGTAGCAGGTGGCCCGGTCTGACCAGTTGAAACCATCTTTTCCTACGGTCTTTCCTTTAACCCTATGTCGTGATAACTCATTTTCTGACAGAAAACAAGGTCGGGGAGATGGGGTGGCGGTGGCTAATGAGGGGAGGAATCACTGTTTGAAGTTACGATTTTTTTTCCCAACCTCCCTCCGGCCCTCACCTCGTGGCCTCACCCGCAGGAGCGCCGGATGGAAAGAACGAGATTCGACACTGACTCAGCATTTCACTAAGAGCGCAGCAGGGGCGTGGCCTGAACTGACCAATCCTGGCTCGATTCTGCTGGGAGAAATCTCGCGAGATTCAGTGGGGTTGACCAGGGACTCCAGAAGGGGTTTGTTCTCTAGGCGGGAACCAATGGGGTAAAGGAGGTGGAGTCGGAAGAGGGGGAGGGGACGAGGAAGGAGGGGGGATGGCTGGCACCTGCCGCCACACTTAGCAGGCCGTAGATGGGGGATAGGGGGGGACAGATAGGGGAGATGGGGATGGAGGAAATGGTGAGGGAGGGAAGCCAAGTGGGGAGTGGAGGGAAAGTGGGGAGTAGGATGGTGGGGCCTGGGATGAGGAGGGAGAGGTTGAGGCCTGGACCCCCTCCCCAACCTTCCTCCCTCCCGCACTTCCTCCCTCCAGCCTGTGCCATGGGTGATCGGCCCTTTTCCCTCCATGGGACACGGGTACTAGGTTTGGCTCCGAGGTTCGCTGAGCAAAGGTCTCACCCCATCTCCATGGGGTAGAAAAGATGTCTTTTTTTTCCCTTGACCAATCCGATGCCTCCTATTCTTGGGTGTTTACCCATTTATATTCCTGCCCCTTCACTGAAGAGGACACCCCACCCCCAAGCCCATCCAAGATTCAGTTAACGGCCCCCGCTCCCTAGGACGGACTGTCCTTAGTCTTTTCCTGAGATTTGATTCCCTGAGTTTTTCCACAACCCCCGACGTTCCCGTGTCCATCCACTCTGTTCAGTTCCCCAACCTGCGACTACCACGGAAAATGAACGTTTGCCCAAGGCTCCCGCCCCAGCCTTTGGAGGGCGTCAGCTTCCACTTTTCCTAAATTCAGAGCTTCTCCTTTTCCCCCACAAATACCTGTTGGCCGTCAGGACTAGGGAGCAGGCAAGGATGCAGAGGAGGGGTGTGGGGGTCCCCAGCATAGGCCTAGTCGGATTCTTCCGCTCTCCCCCCAAAAAACGCACCTTGAACCACGTGGTGAGGATCTCACGTCAGGGGCCAGCAGGGGGTACTTGAGGACCTGACCCTAAGCAGGTTCTGCTACATGAGGTCTGGGTGGGCTTTTGGCCCCTGCTGCCACTCCTTCTAGGGGTGAAGTCTGGCGTCTGGAGAGAGGACGAGGAGCCTTCCCTAGTGGAGAGAGCGGGGTTAGAAGCGGAGCTGAGACCTCCTTGTAGGTAAGTCAAGTTGGGGCAGGAGATCTCTGGGTCTTTTGAACCCCTGGGAAAGTATTCAGCCTCTACTAATTTTTTCTGAAAGAGGTGCGAGTGGAGTCTGATGTTGTTGTTCCTGTCATCCAGGTGGCCCCAGCTGGCCTACCAGAGGATCACGGTGGCTCAGAGTTATTAAGGCTAGCTGCTGTAGCTCATGGATTCTGCCTTTCCCCCAGACACCCCCATATGCCTGTGGACTCAGGGAGGTTCAGGTTTCCAGCTCCACAAGTGAACGAATGAATGGATAGCTATAGAGGGTCATGGAAATGGGATATTGCATTGATCCCCTCTGATCCTGAGATGGTCCATCGAACAGATAAAAACCTCCACTTTTCCCCCTTTGGAACTGGAGGCTGTCAGCCTCTACCTCCCCCTCTCTCTTGACTCATTCAATAAATATTTGTCCTTGAGTGCAAGTTTGAGAAAGATGTAATCTTTGACTCAGAAGGTTTAGGCTGAAAAAAAGAAAAGAAAAAACTAAAAAGACCATTGTTTCATAGTGACAAGTTGTAACGGATTCTCTGAGGAAAACAGGCAAGAGGATTTTGAAAGTTACAAAGGCAGATGGCTTCCTGGCTTGGTTGCTTGGGAACCTCTTTCTGAAGCCCAAGTAAGAAGCAGCCTGGGAGTTTGAAAGGATGGAGTTCAGGACTCGGGGCCAGATGGTGCAAGTTTTGATGCAGTGAGGTGCTTGTCTAGTTTGAGAACAGAGAAGTGTGGACTAGGGCAGAGGGGCGAGGGAGGACAGGGACTAAGAAGGCAACTGATGGTTCATGTGGCATTTGAAAAGGGGATCTGGCCTGCTCTGCGGCCTGTGTTTAGGGCGTCCAGATCCCACATGGCTAACTGCACGGTTTACTGGACCCGGTGGCTTGAGAAACACAGTGGGCGCAGGTTCCTGTGTGCTCCCAAGTCCCGTGAGTAAGGAAAAATGGACAGGGAGGGATTGTGGTGTGACCATTCTCCCCTGGGGGATGCTTTCTCCTTTACCTCTCTGTCTCTCTGTTGAGTGCACATGCCTTCTAGAAAAGGGGATCCATTCGAAGATGATAATTTTTGTGATCTGATAGCTGTTGTCCCACTGTGATCGATGTATGCAGAGCCAGCTCTAGGGGGAGCAGACATAGAGGAAGGGAGAAAAGGGAGTGGCCATGACCCAGGTCCTGCCTTGGACGAAGTGTGGGCGTGCGGGTCCACAGGGATGGACAGATGGGGTAAGACGTAGGTTGCAGGGCGTGAGGGAAAGACGCGAGTGGTCGGCGATTGTCGGAGTGTTGACTTGGTCAGATGGGCTGGCCCTTCTTTCTGTGGTGATCAGGCGAGTGAGAGAGGAAAAGGATGGCAAACACAAAGTGCTTGGCGGAAATGCTGTTTTTGGCTAGGACACACAAAATACGATAAGATGTCTGGAATTTCTTTTTTTTTTTTTTTGAGAGATTTTTGCTATAGGGCACGTGCGCTTGCCAGACAGAGAGAGAGACATAGAGACAGAAAGCGAGAAATCCTTTCACTGTCCTCCAAAAAAAACCCTGATAACTATAAGCAGTCATTCTCCTCCTCCTGGTCCTCCTCATTTACTATGTCTATGGATTTGCCTATTCTGGAAGTGTTATATAAATGGAACCATATAATATGTGGCCTTGTGTCTGGCTTCTTTCACTTGGCGTAATGTTTTCAAGACCCTTCTCTGTCATAGCATGCATCAATACTTTTTCTTTTTCAGTTGCTGAATAACATTCCATTGAATGTATTTTCCACATTTTTATCTCAGGTGATTGCCACTTTTTAGTTATTATCAGTAATATGATTTTAATTCCTTTTGAATTGAACATAATTTTTAAATATTTCAATAATGGTTGGGTATTCTCTAATTCTCTTTCCAGTTACTAGTTGAATATACCCTTTTGCCCAAAAAGAAAAGAAAAGGAAGTGATAGTAACAACAATGATTTATCATTTTCTTAAAGAATTATTTTTATTTTACTTTACTTACTTATGTGAACAGAGCAGGACAGAGTGTGTGTGTGTGAGAGAGGGAAAGTGAGAAAGCAAGCCACCAGACCTGGGACTCGAACAACGGTCAGTCATGTGGGAGTCCAACGTCCTTAACCACCACGCCACTTGCCAGCCCCTATGTAATGATTGTTGTATCAAATGTTTACACTTTTAACCAGACATACCTACAATTTTGGGTTTATATGTCTGTGCACATGGACATGTGCGGGGAGGACACCTAAAATCTGCTCTCTTGGGTCAGAAGGTGGCGTGATGGTTAAGGCACTGGACTCCCATGTGGCTGACTACAGTTTGAGTCCCAGACTTGCTTTCTCACTTTCTCTCCCTGTCTCTCTCTAGTGAGCGCAATGGCTCTTTACCAGGGTCATTCTTTTGTAAGTTTATTGCCTAAGCCCTGGCAACTAAGGAGAGCCTTGGAGTTTTCTGAGGAAATGAAGAGAAAAGGGAGCATATGGGACCTCTCCTTTAGGGTCTCTCTCTCTCTCTCTCTTTTTTTTTTAAGAGAGATTTTTGCTAGAGGCATGTGCACTTGCCAGAGAGACAGAAGGCCAGAGCTCACCCTCTCAGGGAGTGGCCATGTGAATTCACCTGCGGGAGCATACGGGACCTCTCCTTTAGGGTCTCTCTCTCTTTTTTTTTTAAGAGAGATTTTTGCTAGAGGCATGTGCACTTGCCAGAGAGACAGAAGGCAAGAGCTCACCCTCTCAGGGAGTGGCCATGTGAATTCACCTGCTTGGGGAGCATGTGTGCCATCTGGAAAAAAAATTTTATCCTTTTTTCCTGTTCATCTGTTTCATGTCAGTTTAATTTTCTGGCCCAGACAGGACCCTAAGAGGTTAGAGGTGGGGTTCTGCACCCCCACCCCCACCCCGCAACTCCTGGTTTGTCGTTGTGGATTAGTCACTGTAGCATTTCATCTTCTGCAAATCCTCAGTTGCACTTGGTAGGCATGATACAACACTGTTCCAATACTGGAGCCAGTGGAATTGGTTCTGCATCCCTTAAAAGTACCCTCTCCGGGACCAGCAGGTGGCATAGTGGTTATGTGGCTGGACTCCTATGTAGTCGACCACAGTTTGAGTCCCGGACCTGGTTGTTTAACACTTCTTCTAGGTGCATGTGCATGCATGCCCCAAATCCCGAGAGGAGAATGGAGAAGGGATTGGTGGTGTGGCCATCTCCCTTGGAGGGGTGATTTCTCACTTTCTGTCTCTCTGTGTTCCCCATCGAGCACACGTGCCCTACAGCAGAAATCTCCCTCTTAAAAAAAAAAGAAAAAAAAAAAGTACCCTCTTCTAGGGGCCAGAATATGCATAGTGGTTCTGTCTTTCCTTCCGTTCTTCCTTCCTTCCTTCCTTCTTTATTTCCACCCCCCCTCTTTCTTTCTTTATAAGGGGTCTTGCCATGTCTGGATCCCCCTACCTTGGCCCCCAGCTAGGACTATAGGTGTGTGCCACCATTCCTGGCTTTCCGTTTTTTAGGTTTTTGCCATAGGGTGTGTGCACTCACCAGAGAGAAGGAAAGTGAGAACTCTCCCCCCAGGGGGGTTGGCCACACCTCAATCCCGTCTCCTTCATTCCTGTCCTGGGATTTGGGGAATGCACTCACATGTACCCAGTGTGATTTTCAAGCCGCCAGGTCCCTGACTCAAACCACGTTGTGGGCTGCTTGGAATCCAGCATCTTAAGCACCACGCCACCTACTGGTTGCAGGTACTAGGCCTTTAGGATGGACCCTGAATGAAACCAGAGCCTTCCTTGCGGTCTCGGCCTGCAGAGAGCAGTCTTAGCAACATGCCA